ATTAACTCCCAGTTCTTACCCAATCAGTAGAAACCTTCTATGGTAAACTCTTTCACTTACCTTAGGTCATCTTCCAGAAACTTCCAGTAGTTGTTTTTTCTTGTTGTTGTTGTTGTTGTTTTTAATAATCTGGCCACTGTTTATCATTATTATCTGCTAGAGAAACTATCTGACCTCTTCAAATTGCCATTATGTGAACTTATTTTATTAGTCTCATATCCTGTCTTCCTGCTTCTACCCTTCCCTTCGGAAAGCCTCTTCTCCACACAAAAGCCAAAGTCATACCTTTAAAACATAAATCACATATCACACCCCCCCACAAAATCCTTGAAGAGCATTCTACTTCACTCAGAGTAAAGGCCAATCCCTCATATGGCCTGCAAAGTCCTATATAAAGTTGCCCCAGACCACCTCTCAAACCTTATCTCAGCAGTCTCACCTGGACCATTCTCCTGTGCTTCCGATACACCTAGCACACTCCAGTTTGCTCTTCACTTGGCCTACAACACTCTTCCCTTACTTAGTTGCATGACTGGCTCCCCTCACTTTCTCCAAGTTTGTTCAAATTTTGTCTGTACAGAACAAATTTTGTTTGTTTCTGTTCAAATTCTGTTCAAATTTTGTCTTGCTAGAGAAGACTTCCCCAGTTACCCAATCTAAAATAGCATTTCTCTCTATCACACATCCATCATCTTCACTTTCCCTTCCTTGCTTTGCTTTCCCTCATTGTACTTAACCACCATTGATCTCACTTACTTATGTACCATATACACATATGGTTTACTATACACTTATGCTCACTTAAACATAAACTCTATGTGGTGGGAATTTTCTTGCATCCAGTATCATAACTGTAGGGCCTAGAACAGAGCCTGGTAGGTAGAAGGTGCTCAATAAACAGGAGTCAAATAAATGAATGGGGTAAGTGCTGTTATCTCTTAGGCATTATTGTATTAACTCATGTTACTTTCATAGTACCCTATCAATAGGCACTATAATTACCCCTATTACAGATAAAGAATCAAAGCACAAAGATCTGAAGTCCAAATTAACAAAACTAACAAGAAGTAGAGCCAGGATTTGAACTCTGGCAGTATTATCTGCAAAGCCCACTGCATTAGTCTGCTCTGGCTGTGACAATAAAATATCAGACTGGGTGGCTTGAACAACAGAAATGTTTTCTCACAGTTCTAGAAGATGAAGGATAGAAGTGATGGCAGAGTTAGTTCCTGATAAAACTTCTATCCTTGGTTTGCAGATGGCTGCCTTCTTATTGTGTCCTCATATAGTTTTTCTCTGTGTGCCCTCCTGGTGTCTCTTCCTCTTCCTGTTGGATTAGGGCTCCACCCGTACTTATCTCATTTAGTCCCAACTGCCTCCTTAAAGGCTCTATCTCCAAATACAGTCAAAATGGGGAGTTAAGATTTTAACATATGAATTTGGGGGGGTCCCAATTCAATCCACAATACTTGTAATTTATACCCATAACACATAGTTTTCAACATCTTTTCTTTTTATTTTAGAGAATTAAGTAGGTTCTCTTTAGTTCTTTTTAGATGGACAGTGGAGAAGAAACTTCCAGGATCCTGACCAGGTCATACCATCACCTGGAAAGTGAAATCTACTAACATAGCTACACTCAGGATCTTCAGAAACAGGGTGATCTCCTAAAACACCAAATGATTGGGCCAAACATCTGCTAGTGTACTTTCAGACACTGTGCATTAACTCAGTGCAGCTCTGGGAATTATGTTTATTTGTAACTCCTCATACAGAACCAGCAGAAAACCAGATAATTCTTGTGAGCCCCTAATGGAGCACTAATGGAGCCCCTAATGAGCACCAGTCTCCTTGGTGATCCTTAAACACAAGGTGCGTGCTCCTACATCAGGGCCTTTGCACTTCCCTTTCAGATAGCTTCATGACTCATTTTTCTCCTTATCCAGGTTCCTTTTCTAGTTACCTACATGAATTCTTGCTGGAACAACCTATTTAAAATTGCAAACATACCTTCCTTCTGCACTGCCCCTGTCTATTCCTTTCTTTTCTACTTGATTTTTCTCTGTGGCATTAAAGAAAAAAAAAAAGAAAAAAGTCTCTTCCTTCTAGAATACAAGCAAGATGAAATAGGGGTTGTTTTATTTGCTGCTATTTCCCTAGCTCTTAGGAAAGTGATCCTAGCACACAGCAGACACTTAGTAAATGCTTGCTGAATGAATGAACCTCCCCAAAGTAAAAGGGCTAGTAAGTGGTAGAACTGGAATCTGAACGACATCTGAACAAAAGCCTAAAAATTTAACTGCTAAATTATGCTGTGCATAGCAACCATGTGATGTAAGCTTTAATAAGACACAAATATGTTCAAAGAGCAAAAACTGTTCTTCTCTGACACAAACAACAGACCTCATATAGTGATTGAGAAAACGCCGATCTTTAATCTGTGTGAACAAAAATTAGTATTCCTTACAAACATGAATTATAAAAATTTCTTCTTTTTAATAGTAAGGCAGCTGGCCATTTGTACAATTGAATATTTTGCATAAAAGTTTGCAGGGCCAGAAACATTTCAAAAGTAAACAATGGGTAGTCTAGATTCCATCATTGGATAAATAAAAAATTGGCTGTAAGGTTTTCCCAAAAGATAGTAGTATATTATTCCTAGCCCCAAGAGAATGAGTTAGTGGTGTAATTCATTCATTCATTCATTTGGCAAATACTATTAACCATTTACACTGACCGCGCATCATACTAGGGATACAGCAGTGAACAAAACAATTCTTACATTTTTAAAGGGGAAACAGTAAAAATGAAACAAACAAACAAAAAGGAATGTATTCATATCACAAAAACATTGGTTTAGAAATAAATGGCCTTTGTAATTCACTCCTGAATAATTCAGAGTAAACTTTTCTCACAGCGGTAGAAATCTCAGATGACCCTGGTTTGAATCTCCATTGCTGTGACCCTGGGAAACTGCAAACTTCAGGCTGCAATTTCACAAATGGGGGAAAATAGAACCCATCTTGCAAGCCTGATATATGCTCAATGTTAAATGTTGAAAAAGAAAATATGCAAGAAAATACTTAGCACACTGCAGGGTAAATAATAAATGTCAAATAATCTTATTATAAGGATATATAAACAATTTAATTCTTCCATTTTGTGAAACCCAATATGAAAATCTTGGGCTGCATATTTAATTACAATTTCCTTTCATTTTTGAGAAGCTATCATGAGTGCCTCATTAATTCATCCATTCAACAAATGTACAAAGCCAGGTATTTCATTAGGTGCTACAAATACATCAGTTTACAGGACACACACAGTCTCCACACAACTTGGGAGACTGTGTGTGTCCTTATTACCCAGTATAAGTACTTATTGTCCTTATTACCCAGAATGAGTACTGGGTATTATGAGAGCAAACTGATGTCTAACTTTTCAACAAGAAATAGTAACTTTACTTTCTTTCCTTCCTCCCTTCCTTCTTCCCTCCCTGTTTGTTTGACAGAGAAAGAGCACAAGCAGGGGGAGCAGCAGGCAGAGGGAGAGGGAGAAGCAGGCTCCCTGGCTGAGCAGGCAGCCCGATATGGGGCTCCATCCCAGGACTCCGGCATCATGACCTGAGCCAACGGAACACGCTAAAGACTGAGCCACCCAGGCGCCCCAAGAAACAGTAACTTTAAACCCGTATTTACCAAGTCCTATTACAGGAGGTCCCCCCCGCCCCCGTGGTACTTAGCGTTTTGGAAAATGCTCAGTGAATAAAGTTCACTACCAAGGGCAAAGTGCAAAGTTAAGAGAAATCCCAGAAGCCTCTTACGGTGTCCTCTCATCATTCTATTTCTAAAATGGACTCACCCTAGCAGAATCTAAGTTTCTCGAGGGCAAGAAACCCCAGAGCCTACGAAAAGTAATGGCACATAGCAGACACTTTGTAACAGTTTCAAGCGAACCAGTACATATTCCAGTTCTTCACTACTACCATCCTAATCCCTGATCTAATCATCTCTTTCTTGTACTACTGAAAAGCCTTCTAACCGGCCTCAGTTGTTGCTCCATTAGTCTGTTCTTCAAATAACCAAATAACTATAAAAATTATTTTCTTCAAATGTGAGATTAAGTCCTTCCGAAGGTTTCCCATCACACTGATCGCACCTGCCGGGTTCTAGCTATTTCTACTTTCCTCCTGAACCTCAACCAGCCCCGCTCCTCTGTGCCTCTGCGGTTCTCAGGACCTGAAATTCCTCTCCTGTGGCTCACGGCAGGCTGGCGCCTTCTCCCGCTTCTGACCACCTGAATTAAAGCAGCCTCCCACACAACCGCTATCACATTTAACTGTTCTTATTTTTTCTTGACATTATCAACATCTGAAATTATCCTGGGGTGTTTCATTAAGTCTTATCTTCCGCCGTTCCCATGAGGAATCTATAAGCATTGTTCCGCTTGTTTCCCTCCAGTCGAGAAATTGTCGAATTACTCAACACCCCCAGCGCGATTTCCAGTCCTTTTTAAATTGGTAAATACACAGGGACCCAGGGATGATCGCGATTACCCAGAAGAACGTCCCAGGCCCACCCCGCCACGAACCTGACTCCACTTCCGCTGCCCCCAAGCCAGCCTCCGCCCGCCCTTCCGCACACCCGTTTCCGCTTTTCTAACGCTAGGGAGACGCTTTGTTAGGCAGGACCGTCTCTCCTCCCAGCCTGTCCCGCCCACCTGCCCTTTACCTGATTGTCTCTCGGCTTCCGCCAGGAGGCGCGCCTCCAAGGGCCCGGCCTCGGCCTCAGCCTCAGCCTCAGCTACTGACTTCTTCAGCACCCCCAGCACGGTCTCTGGGGGCAAGTCGACCAGTTGCTCCCACACGGACTCCGTGTAGAAGTCTACCGTATGTGCATTGGAAATGGACAGGGCTTTCCTCAGGAACTGCAGCAGCTCCTGCAACTTGGCACGCAACGCGAACAGGTCCTGGGTCACTGGGAGCGGGAAAGAAGCCGCCATAACGCTCACCCTCCGAGGCTGTAGGTGGCGCAAACGTAGCCGCAAGGCAAGGACTCGGTCGTAAGTAACAAAGACCGGAGGAATAGAACTCCGATTTGGACTTTAGATGGGTGATGGATTGCTTTTGTCTCATGACGTATTTTAACAGCGTCCGATACGTTTTTCTGGCGACTTGGTTGGTGTGCCATGGCGCCGGTAAGGCGGTTAGCCGAGTGGTCAACAGGGGATTTGGGGATGCATAGCCAAGGAGTTTCTTCGGTCGGATTCAAGAATAAGAACGTGAAGCAGAGGACTTGGCGATCTAATCACCCGCAGGCCTTCGTGGGGAGCGTTCGCGAGGGTATGTAAGAAGACAGCCTTTTACAAATCTTAAGGCCTGCGAAATTTTAGGATACGCTACCCGCCGAAGCAGGGAAGAAGGATTTAGGAACCAGACCCGGCCCCCCTTAGGGCAGAGGAAGCCATTCTTAAACCCGCTGAAGCCGTGGGCTTCCCAGAACTGTGAATGGGAGGAAGAGTTAGTGTTGCTAATTGTAATTCTTTTAAGTGTCTCCCTCGACTGAACCCCATTCTTAATCAGAATTATTTTTCTCTAGAGTTTTCCGGTGAAACCGTAAGCGGAGCATCTATGGTTCCAAAGCATTCCAGTCTTTTATTACTGATCTTTGCTTCGCTTTAGTTTGTTTTTGTCTTGCTGTCAGCAAGTTCCCTTGAATTCTATTTGGGCTGTATAAGTCTTAAGGAAGTTCAACTTTCTCATAACTGCTAGCTGTCCAGAAAACCATAGGCCATCTTTCTTGTAGGAATTACTTTAGAAAATAAGTCGTATAGTGTTTCTCTAAGGTAAAATTATTGATATGAGGGTTTTTTTTTTTTAAGTATTGAAAATGAGGATTAACTTTTAGGTGAATTAAAGAATTTGTTTTGACTTTGGGTGCGGTAAATTGGATTTGTGCAACACTAATCATTTTCTCTTTTTTGGGCTTATCACTGAGCGTGCATGACTGATGTTAGACAGGTGTTTTTGAAAAGGACCAACATACTATTCATTCCGTTACCTTAAGCTTGTTTTCTTCAAATGACCTTTTAAAGCAAATTAGTGTAATTCTAGCTTCTGAATGTGATGATGTAAGAAATTTTCCTTTTTAAACTAACAGCTACATTTTTTTATGCAGTTTATTTTCTGAGAAAGTAATTTATGGCTGATACTCTTCAATAGGACAAGGCTTTGCATTCCGAAGAAAGCTGAAGATTCAGCAAAATTACAAGAAATTGTTATGGAAGGAAAAGAAGTCCCAAACCTCACAGGAATCCCAGTTCACAGACCGATACCCTGAGCATCTGAAACATCTTTATTTAGCTGAAGAGAAAAGACTCAGGAAGCAACTTAGAAAAGTTGAACAGCCTTTGTCAGAAGAACAAGCTCATCAGCCTTCGGGAAAGGAACAGTGTGACATCGACCAAGCTTTGTCAGAATACTGTAGTTTTGAGCAGCCTCGGTCAGCAGAACAGTGTAGCATTAGAATGAAGTATGTATTATCTTCTTTCCAAATCCGTTTTTAAGATTTGTTTATTTATTTTAGAGAGAAAGTGTGAGTGGAAGGTGGGGAGGGGCAGAGGGAGAAAGAACCTCAAGCAGACTCCCTGATGAGTGCAGAGCCCACCCAAAATGGGGCTCAGTCTCAAGATCATGAGATCATGACCTGAGTTGAAACCAAGGGTCAGATGTTTAACCAAAGCCACCCAGGCACCCCTCAGATTGTTTGTTGTAGATATAAGCAGTGTTTTATGAAATAGATTATAGGACAGATTATGGAATTGGAATTTTTCTCATTTAACGAGTTATAGAGATCACAGTGGATTATGCAAAAATATTTTCAGGGAAGCTTTTAGCTTAAATGAATGCGTTAAGCTAGTTTCAGTTAATGGAAGAAGTAATGAAATTGGAATGAAAAGATCTGGGTTTTGGGTTTCAGCCTCTTGAGTATATTTAATTTTGGGGGACCATGGTTAACTCCTGTTATTAATACATGTTTAAAAATACATGTCTCAAACTAACTTTTGAGAGGTATTATAATGTAGGGGTTAGTACCAGACTCTGGAGCTGGACACATATTGGTACCTGGTGTCCTCTTCTCTGAAATAGAAATGATAATAATTAGTATGTAATTCAGAGCTGCCATGTTTTACAATTCTAGAATGGATTATTCACAGAGATCCCATGGTATCTCTGACCCATCTCATGATGTTGGGAAGTGAGTTCATTTATATAAGGTACTTACAAAGGTGTATGGCACATAGGAAGTGCTTCATGGATGTTAATTGCTGCAATTAATACTATTCTGGATTTTGGGGGCTCCTGGGTGGCCCTGTGGGTTAAGCCTCTGCCTTCGGCTCCAGTCATGATCTCAGGGTCCTGGGATCAAGCCCCGTGTGGGGCTCTCAGCGGGGAGCCTGCTTCCCCACCCTCCTCTCTCTCTCTGCCTGCTGCTCTGCCTACTTGTGATCTCTGTCTGTCGGGTAAATAGATAAAATCTTAAAAAAAAAAAAATACTATTCTGGATTTTGTTTCCGGAGGACATAGACTTGGTCACAGTTAAAAAACAAATGGCACAACTGTATAACACTTTGGTTTTATAAGATCTAACTTACGAAGCTTTCTCTACACATATCTCAAGTTAAAAAACTGTTGAAACCTAAACCAGCAGAAAATTCAGCTGTTACTTGGGACTGTAACATTTTAGTTCACTAAAATACTGTGCTTTAAAGTTACTAACTATTTGTGGTAAAAGTAACAGGAAACAAAGCCCTAGGAAAAAGTGTAATGGATGTAGAGACAGAAACATTAAAATTCAATTTTTTCAGTAGGTTTGTGCATCATATTATTTAATAATGAATGTAAAGCTCTCGCAAATCTAGAATTGTAGACTTCAGTTCTTTGGCAGTCTGCAAATGTAGATTATTATTCCTGGTAATAACTGAGGTGAAGGTTAAATCATGAGACATATGAAAGTAACAGTCATATTCTTAAAGATTACTTACTTTGAGGTAAAAGCAGGAAAAAGCCATTGAAAAAGTTAAATAGAACTGTCATAATTGGAGAAAGAGGGTAATACAGAGACAGTGAAGTCAGCAGAGGAAAGTTGTGCAAAGTAGGGATTGGTCATCTCTCAAATACTGTAGAGTCCAGGAAAAATAGGACTGAGACCAAGTCTTTGAATTTATGGTCTAGGTAATCATTGGTAACTTTGGAAAGATTTTAATAGATAACCCTTACTAGGATTTTGACCTTGCATCCTTGTGGCATCTGAAGCCATGGTGATGGTTATAACTGTGGCATGAACTGTTCATTAGAGAGAGCAAACACCAGATTGCAAAGAGTTAATGAGGGACTGTGAAGAGAAAAAAAGGAGTGAGTGTGAAGTGGTCATCCATGACTGAGTAGATGAATTAAGAGATGATCAAAGCACTTTGGATTAAAGTTCATTTCATCTATAACTTCTTTCACATCCTTCAATTTGATGCATTTTCCAGCCTGTCATTTCTGCCATTGTGCTGGTTTCCTGTTTGTTAACATTTTAGGAACTTTCAAAACTTTTTGTATTGTCTCTGGTTTACTATTTCTTCAAGAGTTCTCCATTTACCATTTTTTAATTATATTTTGAAAGCTGTAACTCTATTTTTAGCATATTATTTGGATATTTTACTGTAAGATTTTTGTTTTCTTTTTGCCAGCCTCTCTTCCCTGCTCTATTACTTTGCATCACTGAGATTTTACTGTGCAAGTACTATATATGACGTAATTACTTCATAATTTTGGTTACGTCACTTTTTTTTTTTTTTTTTTTTTTTTTTTTTTGATTTGACAGAGAGAGATCACAAGTAGACAGAGAGGCAGGCAGAGAGAGAGAGAGGGAAGCAGGCTCCCTGCTGAGCAGAGAGCCCAATGCGGGACTCGATCCCAGGACCCTGAGATCATGACCTGAGCCGAAGGCAGCGGCTTAACCCACTGAGCCACCCAGGCGCCCCGGTTACGTCACTTTTTTAATCTTTTGACTTACATATCTTTATCTTTAAAAGCTCCATTACTGTTTCAAAGAAAAATAAAAAGAAAACATCGAATCAAAAAGCACAGGAAGAATATGAACAAGTACAGGCTGAGCGTGCTGCTAAGAAACAAGTAAGATCTTTTAAAATACTTAACTCCTTTTTTGAAATTTATTCTAAACATAGCTGTATGTAAAGCTGTGTCTCTTAGTATGTCCATATAGTATGTCCTCTGTAAATATTTGCTGAATAAATGAGTAGTTTGAGCAGAGCTGGAGAATTTCAACAGTCAAATTCTTTGATTGTTTATATTATTTTTGAGAAGAGATACTAGTTGGTCAAGAATGGGATTTTTTAAGATTTTATTTATTTATTTATTTATTTGAGAGGGAAGAGGAGAGAGAGCACAAGAGGGGGCAGTGTCAGAGGGAGAAGCAGATTCCCCACTAAGCAGGAAGCCCAGTGCTGGACTGGATCCCAGGACTCCAGGATCATGACCTAAGCCAATGGCAGTCCCCAACCAAGTGAGCCACCAAAAATAGGATTTTAAAGGTTGTGAGCAGATGGGGCAACATTTTTCAAGGATATGGTCCAAGAAGTTGCACTTTTAACAACTGCCTCAAGAAATTCTTACTATAATAAAATTTGAGACTACTAAGGAAAGTGTAAATGATTATCATAATTTTACATTGAAATAAAAATCGGAGGGAGGTCTTAGAATAAAATATTTCTTTAAAGTGTCGATCTTGCCTATTAAAAAGCTTCGTAGATTAACAAAAAATAACCAATTTTTATTATTCAGAAACCCATAATTAAAAGTCTTTTTCAAATGAGTACAATCAAATTATCCACAGCTTCAACAAAATTTTGTTTAATCTGTGGTTTTTATTTTTTGTATTGAAGGTTTATTAATCTCTCACTTTAAAAAGGATATCACATCAATCAAACTACTTTAAAGATCATACTGACATAATTTATTTTATGTCTTAGCTTTAGAATTTGTATAAGAAATCTGGAAGTTTAACATCTAAAATTCTCATGATTATTCTTAAACTGGTAGACTAGGGTGAAGCAAAAACATTTCTCTATGTAAGTAGTGGACATTTGTTTCATAGTTAGTTACATTATATTCTTTTCTAACCAACCATCTGACATCTGCCACCTTTGTAAATAGTATACCAGATAAGGTAAAGCCCATTATACTGTAAAACATTTAGTATCCTTTTAAAATTTTCTTTATAAATACTAGGGCTATGTAGTCATGAAAATTGACAGTTTCTTAGAACTTCAGATACTGAATGTCAGTATAAAAAGCTGTAATGCCCAATCACGAGAAATCAAAGAAGCACCCATAACAGATGGTAAGACTGTTTAATTTACTTTTTTCTACTTTGTTTAGAGAAACTCCAGAGACGTAAACTAGATTGCCATACCTTAATTCATAAATAAGTTCTAGAACTTTTGTGCTTAATAAAATAAATGATGTACTGAGCCATAGATCATAAGTTTGAATGCTAATCAGACTTTGAATTCACGAGATCTGGATATGAGACTTGCTGTACTGAGTATTTGGGATTTGGGGCAGGTCACTTTCAGTATCATTGAGAATTAGCTCCTCATCTGTAAGATGAAAGTAATGGCCTAGCATGAAAGTTTTACAAGAATGGAATATGCTCTTATGGGAAGGCACTTTGATAATTATGTTACCATGCAAATACAAGCTGTGTCATTTGGGGGCTGTATATGTTACCAGGGAAACTACAAAGCAGGGTACATATTGCATTATTTAAGAACCTTTATTTAACTTTCATATTTAATTTAGTAAAATGTAGTAAAATGTTCTGCATTTCAAGTAGTGTTTTTCAGGTTTACATATAAATTTGAATTATTTTCTTATGCTCAAATGAGTGTGAGTCTTTATCTTAGCAAGTCAAATGAACGTGATAATTCTTTTTTTTTTTTTTTTAGGTTTTTTTTTTTTAATTTATTTGACAGATCACAAGTAGGCAGAGAGGCAGGCTCCCTGCTGAGCAGAGAGCCTGATGCGGGACTCGATCCCAGGACCCTGAGATCATGACCTGAGCCGAAGGCAGAGGCTTTAACCACTGAGCCACCCAGGCGCCCCGAACGTGATAATTCTTAATCAAAATCATAATGCCTAGCAGTGTTTTGCCTAGTGTATAGTCAGTAAATGTTTCCTGAATTAAATCTGTCAAATGGCAAGTTAAAAAAAAATACCAGATATTCTAGAAGTGAAGATTTTTGTATTATATGGAGTAGATAATCTTTAAAGTCTCTTCTAACTCTAGAAGATTAATTAAATGATGAAATCTTACATAAATATGCCTTCTTTCCTCTGTGCTCTAATTTTAGTTGTATTCAAAGAATTAAAAATATGTTACAGCATTTATTATAGTGTAAAGGCAAAAGTACACTACTTTGGTTACAGGTAACCCCTCCCATTTTGCAAAATATAAGACAAGCCTAAAGCATTTGTATGGTGATAGCTATTTCAACACAATTACTGAAGTATGTCTGTTGATTGTTACTAATGGAAATTACCTATGTTAATAATTTTAGGAATTTGAGAAGAGAAGACAAGAGAGAGAAGAAGCTCAGCGGGTCTATAAAAAGAAGAAAATGGAAGCATTCAAAATACTGAGCAAAAAGACTAAAAAGGGGCAGCCAAACTTTAATTTACAAATGGAGTATCTTCTTAAAAAAATACAAGGAAAATATTAAATCAGATATTTTCTTAATTAAGGATGAAAATATCTGCCCTCTGAGTTCTTTTGTATTTGTACTATACCTCCTAACAGTTAACCAAATTTGTTAACATAAAATAGACTGCAAAGCTGTACTAAGTATAAAATATCCAAATATTTTTATTCTTGTGAAAGAAAATTTTCTTTGTATGCTCTACATAATATGTTTCTTATGTATTTGCCTTTGAAGGAAGGTGGCTCAAAGAACTGAAAGAGCTTCTCTATTTGAACATGTTTAAGCATGTAATATTTTTATGCCATATGAAATTCAGATGAAATAAAATGTTTGAAATTAACAGAGCACAGCTTTCAATGAATCATTTCAATGAAATGCTTACATTTAGTAATGAGCTGTTAGGGTTTTAAATTCAGAAACCTGAAGGCAGGCTACATGAATGCTGAAGCTACCTTCTACCCCCATTGTATTACCACATGGTCTTTATAAAGTAAGAGTTTGGTGTAAGAGTTCCTTTTGGTATTTACAAACATTCTCCTAAGTGGAAGCACATGGCTTGTTGGTGTCAAATTTTGAAAGATGTTGGAAACAGAGCAGTGTCACAGCAAGAAGTAAGCTTTTCAGATTCTGTGGGACCCTATTATGGAAGAATGTTGTCACTGAACATTAGCAGTGTTGTCTCCCTTGGTACCTTTGTGAGCTGAGGGAAAAGACTGGGATACTGCTTCTCCTGCCTCCTTGAAATCACTACAAAGTGAGAAGGGCTACTTTATCATCATCGCTATAATAATATTTGTACAACGTTGTATAATAAATGGTAGCAGATGCTGGATTAAGGTTTTAGGGAGCTCTGGCACTCTGCTGTTCACTTTGCATTTTAAAAAAAGTGCAATAGGAGATGCTGAGGAAACAGCTTACTAAAGAAGAGGAGCTCTTTATTATGTAGAAAAACGTGACTTAGGAATTTGTAATACATTATATTGCCTTTAAAAGGAGCCAACTTAAAAAGCCTAAATGTGGCTAATCAGTAAAGAGAATACATTGTGAAACAGTAACATTTTTCAATTAATTGCTGTTACAGCTTGTGTTTTTCTTTTACTTCTAGACGCTTTATCAGGATACGACAAGGGAGGCACTTTATCAGGATAGGATAGGACAAGGGAAGCGATCTAGTCCTTTTGGGAGGTGAGTAAAAATTAGTTGAGTTCATTTTAAAAAGTTGAAAAAAATTTTGAGCAGCTCCTGTTATGTGCAAGGTCCATGTTAAGGAATTAGTCTTAGAAAAGAACTCCTTCCTGCAAGCAACTTAAAAGAGCAGTAAATGCCAAATAATATCGTAGGATGAAAATAATCTGTTACAATCAGGTAAAAAAAAAAAAAAATTCAGACTTCACTAGGGAGTCACACACAATTTCTTAAAGGGCACATTCAAGGGTCCTACTTCCAAGATTTGGATAGCATCAGTGGGTGCAGTAACATGTTTTAACAAACAACTCATGATTCTGTTGTAGTTGGTCCTCAGGACACATTTCAAGAAGTACTGGGTAAGGTCCTCAGTTGTCTGAGAAATTTCATGTGGTTGAAGACATTAAGGATAGTTTCATGGGTGAGATGGCCATGTGGGAAAAGCCTTTAAGGTTGAGAAGTGAAGAGAGTGTGAGGAAAAGACAAAAGGAAGAAAGCCTGGGACATATTTAAAAGTTTACTTAAAAGTCTTAAAAATAGCTCCATGTATGTTGTTACGGTTGGGGGCTAACACTGTCTATCCATTGCTGATGTTTTCTTCCGTATTAGGGTGAGGGGCAACCTCACCCTAACACTCATGGTCTCTTTGCCATTCTTAATGTTTCTGCCCAGGAAAGTCGTGACTTAGCTAAATGATAATTTGGGGAGAACACCTGGACTGCCTGCACAGTGATATACTCTTGATGACTATACTTACACCGAAATTGTAAAGAATAGTCTGTATTGATGAAGGGTAGGAAGGAGATGGGCACAGAGGCAGAACAGGGGAAAGGCCCACGTTTAGGAGAATGTAACATCCAAAACCAATTTGTGCTGCCTGGGTGAGCACATCAAGAGATAATATGAGAATGAAACAAGGGAACATGGTATGCAAGTGCAGAAGCCTTGGGTGGCTAGATCTTGTCGTTTTCGAGCTCAGACTTTAACATATACACAGGGATTGTTGATCTCAGTTTGTAAGCGCTTAGACTGGGCCATTAATTTGATTTTTATAATATTCAGTAGGCTTTTAGTTGCTGCCATTTTGGCAAGATACTTTAAGCCTTAAGGCCCATGGGATTTTGATCGGAAGTTCAGTGTAGCTTCAATCTACAGAAAATTGGTTATTTCTACAGAGGCAGGGTGCAATATTGAGCCTCCAGAAGTGTATAGGACTCAACAAAGAAGCAGGAGGGGAATGGGAGTGGTGGAGACACACAGGCTTCGGCAAAGGCACAGAACGTGGGAGTGGGCTCACCCATAGCCTGACCTCCTGGATGGCCTCAGCTGATGCCAGCCAAGAGGAGGCTCTGTGAGCTGTCCTGGATTTGCTGGTAGTAAAGGCATTGGTGAGTGCAAGCAGCAGGGGAGGCTCCCGCAGCTTGACCTTGAGCTGTATTTACTATAATGTATGAACATCATCAAGGGCCTCAGCAGAGGCTGCAGTGACACTAGAAAGCAATGTCATTAGGATTTAATGATAGAAAAAATATAGCTGTGCTATACCTTGACTCTATCAATATTTGCTGCTCTTAAACTTCAAGGCAGAAGATGTGTATGCAATACAGATTTCTGTATCCCCATGACTTACTTTATAACTGAAAGTTTGTACCTTTGGACTCCATTCATCTTCCCCTACCTGCCACTTGATTTACTATAGTTTATAGATGAATTTTATTTTAAAAATGACAAAGGCATCCACTGTTACTGTGTCTACTGAAAATAAAGCCATTAAAGCAGCTCCATTACATAGTATTTGATCTTCCCAGGTAACAGAAGCAATAGCTCTGACTGAAGCCTGTACTGTGATAAGAGACAGAAAATAAAACGATAGTAGATATTGCTTTTAGAATCGTTACGGACATTGGGGAGGGTATGTGCTATGGTGAATACTGTGAAATGTGAAAGCCTGATGATTCACATTATATGTTAATTAAAAAAAAAGAAAAAAATACACATATATTTTATATATGTATATATTTATATGTATATATTTTATATATGTATATATGTATATATATTTTTATTTATATAAATATATAAATAATATTTATTTTATTTATATATTATTTATATATATTTATATGTATATATTTTATATATGTATATAATACATTATATGTTAATAAAAAAATGCTCTGAAATCTGAAGGATTTATGACTTCTGATTTCTGAAGGATTTATGAATGCTGAGAAAGATATTGATGACTTAGTGGAAGCTTTTCAAAACACGAGGAAACAGTGGTTGTGAAAGGAGAAATGCATAGGTAGACCAAAAGCTGATGGCAATGCCCTCACAGAGCTACATGCTAAATGAGCAGCTTCTACCATCCCAGTTCTATGAGAGGCCTCTAAGTCGAGTTTTCTCCCCACTAAACCTCCAAACAGATCATTTTCTCATGTAAGCTGGCTATAGTTGACTTGTAGAAGCTAGATCAACCTTCTGAAAGACAAAATTGACCATCAGAGAGATGGAGGCCAGAAGTCCGAAATCAGGGTGTTGAAGGGTCATATGTCCTTTGAAGGCACTAGGGAAGGATCTGTTCCACGTCTCTCTTCTGGCTCCAGTGGTTCCTTGGCTTATGGCAGTATAACTACAATCTTCATATGCTGTGTGTGTGTGTGTGTGTGTGTGTGTGTGTGTGTGTGTGTGTGTGCATGCGCGTCTGAGTCCAAATGTCCCTTTTTTATAAGGATACTGATTATATTGTGTTAGGCTTCACCCCAATTATTTCATTTTTACCATGGTTACCTCTATAAAGACCCTATCTCCAAATAAGGCCACGCTCTGAGGTTCTGGGAGTTAGAACTCCAATGTGTCTTTTTGGGGGGGCACAATTCAACCCATAACACATATCATCATGAAAATGCCATATGAAATTTATGGGACACCATTTCTGTTGCTTCTATGTGTTCATGTGTCATTGTGCAAACAAACCACCAACCCACATCAGTGGATTTCTACTCACATGATTTCTTAAAATGAGGCCAAGTCAAAAAAGTCTGTAGCAGACTGTTTCAAAAAGCAGTCTGAACCAAAGGTGACAATTGGTGTGAAGCTCATGCCTGAGATTGACAAAATAAGACAGCATAATGATTTTTTTTTAAACTTTTCTCTTTTTGTACTTATTGTTCTGGTATTCTTCTGGTGATGTAACCCAAATATTTAACCCAAATAACCCAAACAGTGTGTTTTCTGTCAGCATAGTTGAGTTTAACCAAGTTCAGTTCTTGGTATGTTCAAAATACATGGTTATAATTAGCCTGTGCATTTCCAGTAGCTTTAAATACAAAAATGTTTGTGTCTATAAGAACTTCCCTTTTTACACACAGAAAGTCTCCATGCTACTATGGAATTATCCTTGTAATTCCTAGTTATTACACACTAGCATCGGTGAGTGCTGTGGTCCCCAATGGTCATATCTTCATGAGGTTTGTAAAAGCCTTTCTGTGATTCTCTGTAGAGGCCAGTTTACTTAGTCATAATCCACACAGGTCATGGGGGGTGAGTGGGGACAGCCTTTGTTATACCTCAGTTTCCAGGGCTAAAAGCAATAGAGAACGATCACCACTAACCTACTTTCCATTGTGCATCACTTTCAATAATGTTCGGGAGATGAAAAATAATGTAAAAATGACAGGGAAATAACACAAAGTATCATTAGTCCAAAGTTACTTAAGGGTTGATTTCCTTGTATCTTCTTCCTCCCTATTTTGCATTTGTGCAGGTAGAGCTTATGAGATGTTGCCTGTTAACTGATTATGCTTATAATTTATCCTATCTTACTGTCAATTTGGCAGAGTGTACAAGGTCCACTAGAGATGGTGAAGCAGTATTCCATTGGTCAAAAAAAGTTCATCATTGGTTGGTTCAACTTCCACTTGTGGTTGTGTTTATACTAATGCGGTTCCATCATACAGGGTTCAGAATATTGTTATCTCAATAGGCCAGTTCTGTCACTGAACCTGTGATACACAGACATACTCAAATGATGAGTCTGTCCAAAATAAGCCAAATACTTTATGGTCAAACCTTCTCCCCTGGGATGGAAAAATAACCATAAGAAGAGACTGATGAACTGTGGCCTCTTGGGCACACCACATACAAAGCAGAGACAGCCA